TATCATCATCATCATCATCATCATTGTCATCGTAATCATCGTAATCATCGTCATCGTCATCATCATAATAATAATCATAATTGACTTCGTCACCACCACCACCACCACCACCACCACCAACAACAACAACATCATCATCATCATCAACTACATCAACATCATCAACAACAACATCAACAACAACATCATCATCATCATCAACAACAACAACAACAACTCTCACTGCTACTACTACTACAATATCAAAACCATTAACGCCGGTTGCCTTCCAGATGTTCTGAAGGAGCCTACGACAGACCGGGTGCCCATGTCCAGCAGCTCGTCCAGGTCCAGCTACAGGCACGATGCTCTAAATCATTCCGTGGGGTCGGTAGGGAGCATCGCCCGCAGCTCAACGAGGGATGTTGACCCAACCGGCTCTCTTCTGGCTTCGCCCAGGGGGAGGGTCAACCGGCCCATGTCTGTCCTGGAGCAGCTGGAGAAGGAGCTGGGGAAGGATCGACCCTGGGAGCGCAGCAGGGGCGCAACAGGGAACGAGATGCCAAGGGGGAGCATGAGCAGCAGTGTGGCCGAGTCGACAGTCAAGGGGGTGAACAGCTCTAGTGGTCCCCCTCCTGCCAGGACGGTGACGTCAGAGTCTGCCTACTTCGACCTCCTGGAGTCGGAGACGCTTCCTGAGAGCCTGGACGACTGCCACCGGGTGATCCGCCTGCTGAAGAAAGATCTGAGCTCCACCTCCCGCTCGTCCCTGGCAGAGCTGGCGAGGAAGGAGAGGACGATCGAGGGGTCAGCGACATGTTTGCGTTGACTGCGCTGATCCCGGACAAGACGAGGCTGTTCAAGGAGTACAACGAAATGAGGGTCAGGTACCAGGATGCTCTAGAGCAGGTTGCGAAGCTCCACGTGGAGCTGGAGTCGGCAAGGGATGAATGTCAGAGCATGCAGTCCAAGGTCAGGAACGCGCTAGAGAAGTCGCACAGCGACGAGCTCGACAAGGAGTATCAGGTGAGCTGCTGCTGAGGTTGTCGTGACTGACGTCTGCGGAAGTTGGAGGAGGCGCGAGCGAGGGTGCAAGAGCTGGAGCAGCTGAGAGAGAGAGACGCTAAGGTTGCTCTGGATACGATCCAGTCGGCGAGGGGGAGGGCGGACGAGGCGGAGGGGAGGCTGCAGGACGTGAAACGAGGAGTCGACGAGCAGCTCAAGTGGTTCGGGATGAGGAAAGTGGCGGGGAGGAACGTGGTCGACGACCTATCGTTCCTCTTTGAAATGTTCAGACAGAGCGCAGAGAAGAATGTTGCCCTCAACAAACGGCTGGAGGAGTCGAGGGACAGGAACGCGAGGACTGGCGTTCAACTGCAGGAGCTCAGGTCCGAGGTGAAAGCGGTGAGACGTGGCGAGGTTGGGAGGGGGGGGCTAGGATGGTGACAGTGCGGGCAGGTCCAAAACTTGTTCCAGGTCGAGGTGGACCAGTGCTACGCTGAAACAAGGATGCTCACTGACACTGTGAAGAAGAATCAGATGCTGCTCGACCACAGCTGGAGGGTGCAGTCGCAAGTCAGGGCGGTGGATCACCTTGCTTCGCTGGTTGAGACTGGAGTCCAGAAGCTCGCGGACTCGACGACGGTGGCGGTGAAGGAGCACAGGGTGACCAGGGAACGACTGCGGGAGCTGCAGCGGGAGGGAGAGAGGCTGGCGTGCGGGATTGAGAGGGAGCGATTGGTGATGACGGCGAGGATGGAGGAGATGCGAGAGGACCTGGAGATCCAAAGGGGCGAGGCAGAGAAGATGCGGCAAAGGTGTGTGGAGCTGAACGAGACGATCCGGGAGAAGGACGAGGTCATCTTCGACTACCTCAAGCGCTGGGGCAAGTCAGAGGAGGAGAACCAGGAGGTGAAGGAGCAGCTGCAGGTATGCCGGCAAGAGCTCGAAGAAGCTCGAGGGCAGGTTGACAGACTGCACAAGGACGTGGAGGACATTAAGGCCAGGTAGTCCTCCTTCCTCCCCTCCGCATGCTCCTCCGCTAGTTGCGCTGATGGCGTGCTCCTGCTCCAGGTCTGCTGAGGAGGCCAGGAGGACGGAGAGGAAGCACGCGGAGAGGTTGAGCGAGGAGGCGGCGAGGCTGCAGAGCCTGTCCGACGACTTGATGAGCGTGAGGGAGACATGCCAGGCCCTGGAGGCGAAGTTAAGGCACAAGGTGATTTTTTCCACTGTGCATTTGAAATCAGTGCTGTAACTTTCGTCCCAACTCGTCAAAATGCGCGTGTTGTGCTGTGCCATTCGCTGACTTTGCCCTCCCTGCTCGTTCCCGTCAGGGCGAGGAGGTGAAAGACGTCGCGCAACGGGCGGGGGAGGAGGAGAGGCGGCTGCAGTCGAAGATCGAAGAGCTTGAGCGGAGCAGAGAGAGGCTGCAGGGAGAGGTAGACGGTCTGAGGATGGAGCTGAAGAGTGCAGAGGAAGAGAGGGCCCGGCAGACTGGAAGGAAGGAGGCAGCAGAGAGGATGCTGGAGGAGGGGGTGAGGGAGGTGGACGCTCGAAACACTCAGCTGGAGTTGGAGCTGGCTGGCTGCGAGGAGAAGCTCTTGGAACTTAGCAGGAGAGTCAAGTTGAAGTTGGACGAGCACGAGAGCGCGATGGATGGGATGGTAAGAAAGTTTGCCGTCCCTCTACCCTGACTACCTGATTGACATGCTGTTTTCCCTCTCCCTTCCTCTCCTTTCTTCTCCCTGCCCCGCACCCGCCCCCACACCTGCACCCTTCCTTCTTTCCTCCTGCTCGCTTCCTCTCCCTTGCTTCTCCTCCTCTTCCCTTCAAGAATCGAGCGTGTGCCTCTCTCCAGGAGACTCTCGTCATCTACCAGACCGAGAAGGAGCAGGACAGCCGCTGCATCGACAGCCTGACCGACCGATGTGACGAGCTGGCGGCCCAGCAGCAGTCGGCGAACTCCTGCATCGAAGAGCTGAGGCAGCGGATGCACGTAGAGCCGGAGGAGGAGGAGGAGGAGAGGGTTGCTCCTTACCTTGCCGCAGGTTGCCATCTCCTCCTGCCAGGAGCTGGAGGGGGAGCTGGGAGGAGCCGCGGAGGAGGTCAGGAGGATTGCCGACGTCTCGTCCAACTACTTCGAGGAGACGAACGAAATGTTCCAGAGCCTCGAGAGTGAGATGGCGCACCTCGCTTCCCAGAAGGCGGAGATTGAGGTCAGTGGGGAGGAGGAAGAGGGGAGGACGAGGACGAGGGGGAGAGAGGAAGATGACGAGGACGAGGACGTGGTGGTGGTGGAGGACGAGCACGAGCACGAGGAGGGAGGACGAGGACGAGGACGTGGTGGTGGTGGTGGTGGAGGAGGAAGAGGAGGAGGGAGGACGAGGACGAGGACGAGGAGGGGGGGGTGGGTGTAGGGGAGGATTGAGGGAAGAAAAGGGAGGAGGAAAGACCAGGAGGAGAATGCCCAACGGTTAACGAGAGGTCAACCCAGGCGACGTTGGAGGACGTGAACTCTGCGAGGGCAGCAGAGGCGGCGCAGGCGAACGAGGCCATGGACGCGTTGACGGAGGAGCTGGTGAACATGCGCAGGGAGTGCCGCGAGATGGAGGAAGAGATCACGTCGCTGAGGAAGGAGAAAGTGCAGGAGGCCCAGCACGTGCTTCACCTCAACGTCATGCTGGAGCAGCAGGCGAAGCAGCACGAGGCGATCCTTGCGGCCCTTAGAGCTTCGCTGAAGCAGGCGGACGAGGAGATGGAGGAGTTGAAGGGGAAGAGCAAGAGGGCGCAGACGGATCTGGCGACGGCAAACGCGCTGAGGGAGAGAGACTTCGAGGAGCTGGAGAAGCTTCAGAGGAGGAACGAGGAACTGATGGAGGAGCTCAAGAAGAACGAACAGACCATGAACGGCCTGCAGCACGAGGCCCTCCTCTTCAAAGCTGAGGTCTAGCTACCTTCGTTGACCTCCCTGCTCTCTTCTTTCCTCCTCTCCTCTCCTCTCCTCTCCTCTCCTCCCCTCTCCTCCCCTCTCTTCCTCCTCATCGCTCCTCTCCTGTCCTCTCCTCTCTTCCTCTCCTCCTTTTCCCCTGATCCTATCCTTCTTTCGGGCTCCTCTACCCCTACTTCTCATCGTTCCTCACCCCTGCTCTCTTTTCTGTACCTCCCCTTCCTCCCCTTCCTCTTCCTCTCTCTCTCTACTTCTGCTTGACGCCCCCCAAGGTTCTCGCAAGCCCGCAACGACCTTCTTTCACGCCGAAACGAAAATCTGATCCTGATGACGAGGTCAAAGTTCTCATCCTCCTTCCTCCTTCCTCCTTCCCCTCCCACCCCCACCCATCCTCCTCCTTCCCCTACTCCTCCTCTTTCCTCCTCCTCCTTCCCCTCTCCCTTCCCATTCCTCTCCCCGTTTTCCTCCCCCTCCCGGCTCCCCATCAACTTCTCATTCCCTTCCATCTTGCTTTTCTCTTTTCTCATCCTCTCCTCGTTCATCTCTCCTCCTGCACCCTCACGAGTCTCCCCGTAGGCCTGCCCTTCAGCTGCTTCTCTCTCCCAGTGGGAGTCGCTCATGCTCAACAGCTACGGCAACCTCAGCTCCAACGAGCTTCTCATCCTCGCCGCTCGTCGCAAGGTGACGTCTCTCCTTGCTCCACCCTCCTCCTCCACCATCCTCTTCGTATTCCAATCTCTTGTCTCCTTTCCCCTCCTCCTCTTGTCTGCTCCTCCTCCTCCTCCTCCTCAGCTCTTCTTCAGATGCACATCGAGGGAGAGTTCAGGACCCACCTCAAGCGCGAGGTCGGCGACCTGAGAGCGCAGACTCAGGCTCCTCGAGAGGTGCTAGGGTCCAGCTGGGGAGGGGGAGGAGAGCTCACGTGCCCTCCAGCTGCAGGTGACGTGGGAGGTTTTCTTCGTGATCACGGGGGGGGTCCCGTCGGGTCAGGGGGAGGGAGCAAGAGACTGGAAGGCGGTGAAGAAGCTCATAAACACCAACCCGAGTCAGTTCGACCAGGCCTCCGTCTTCGGTGCGTCCTCCTCTGTCCTCGTCCTCCTCTGTCCTTCTCCTCCTCCGCCTCCTCCTCCTCCTCCTCATCCTCATCCAACGCCTCTTCCTCCACCACCACCACCACCACCACCACCACCACCTCCTCCTCCTCCTCCTCCTCCTCCTCCTCCTCCTCTGCTGTCACCGTATCATTTACCCGGGGTCACCGGCAGGCGTCATGGAGAGATACTCTGCCGACGCTTCTCAGGCCTTGCAGGCAGATGAGTCGCTGCTGGGGCAGGTTTCCTTTCCCTCTCCTCCTCGCCGCCTCCTTCTGATCAGCTTCCAGCTCAACTCGCTGCTCAACAGCACGAGCTACAACGACTGCAAGGCTGTCTCGGTCAGAGCTCTCCCTACCTTGTCTCGCCTGCTGACCGATGACTTCCCAGCTGTCCTGCTGCCTGCTGTACGAGTGGGATCGGCTCGTACTTGACATGCACAGGCTCCTCTATACAGCTGGGGGCTGCTCACCTTGATAGGCTGGCGGCGGCGGGCCCGGGGAGCAGCAGCAGCAGCAGCAGCAGCAGCAGCAGCTCCGAGTGGCGGCAACTCCATCAAGGTCACCGGTACTTGTAGGTTTAATTAGAACGACGAAATTCGCTCCCCAAGGTTTTAAAATTAAAGGCACCGAATGTTCAACATCCGAATGAAACTCCAGTGAATGGATCAGCTGACTCAGTGCTAGAGTATAACTGAGAGTTTGAGTCAATTCGCCACTCAGTGTCACTGTTAGTGACCACCGAGGCCCGGCGGGCCGAAGTTCGGAGGCTCACTGTCGCGGCCCCCGGCCCAGTGGGGGCCGGCCGCCGCCCGGGCCCGACGGCGGCAGCCCGGTGGGCGCCGATGCTTGGCCGGGCCGTCAACCCCGGTGGGCGAGCCTACCAAATGACTGAGGCTGGCTCGGTCCTGCGCTGAAGCCATGGCGGGGGGAGCAGGGGAGGAGGGGCGCGCAGGAGAAGCGGGAGGAGGAGGAGGAGGAGGAGGAGGAGGAGGAGGAGAGAAAGGAGGAGGATCACGATTACTATCGAAGCCAGAAGCAGGAGCAGGAGCAGGAGCAGAGAAGAAGTTGGTCCCACCCCTTGCTCTGAAGAAGGAAGCTGATAGTAAACGGATCCCTCCGCCTACTGCACTGCGGAAGTCAGAAGCAGGTGCCGAGACAAAGACGTCAGCAGCTCGGGTGCGAGAAGAAGGAAAGGAACCACCGCCATCAAGAATACCTACCTCCGCTCGAGGCCCGTCCTCCGTCGCCTCAAAATCCACCCTAGCCAGCTCCGCGCGCTCCCGAGGTTGTTGGTCGGCATGGCGACACCACCGCTGACATCTTCTCGTGTAGATGACAGCACGGTGACGCCTATCACCGCGAGTCGAGTGGCAGCATCGCGAGCGTCTGACTTGAGCAAGAGCTCAATCCCGAAGCCTTCGCCGAGGACTTCCATCGCCGGCGCTTCGTCGCTGTCCAAGTAGCGAGAGGCTCTCGGGTGCTGACGAAACTCACCTGCTGCTTTTCAAGGTCTCAATTGAGTGTCAAGTCTTCCTCCAGCAGCCTCTCCAGCTCGGCTGGCCTGAGCGCCTCAGCCTCCTCAGTGACAGGGTTGCCTGCCAAGAGGACGGCGGCCGCAGCATCGACAGCAGCGCCAGCCTCCTCCAAGCCGCTGAAGGATGACATGCTCTATCTGACGGAGAACATGCTCCTGGCTGTCAAGGAGATGAGCCAAGAGTATGGAAAGGTCTGCTCCCCTACTCCTCGTTCTCCTGCTCATCTATCATCACTCCTCCCTTCCCCTCCCTCCTCTTCCTTCTCCCTCCTCCTCCCTCCTGCATCTCCACCATATCCTTTCGCTTGCTCTAGTTTGACTTTGCTTGGCCTTGTCTGATCCGCCATCATCGCAGACGACGCGCGACCTGGAGCTTGAGGCAACTCAGTCGTTCCTCGAGCTGGAGAACATGAAACGTCAGTGTGCGGAGGTGGAGGAGGAGCTGAGAGAAGCGCTGGAGATCGCCGAGACAGAGACGGAGGCGTCCAGGAGCAAGCAGAAGACGATCAACGAGCTGACGCAGGAGCTGGAGAGGCTGCAGGGGAAAGGAAGCGAGGCAGGCAGCAATGAGGAGAACGAGAAGCTTCGTCAGGAACTGGCTCAGGCCCGGTCAATGATCAAGGAGATGGAGGAGGAGGCTGTGCGGGCCATGGAGGAGCGATCGTCCTTACAGAAGAGAGTGAGGTCGAGCAAGGAGCTGGCCGACAAGCTCGAAGCCGATCTCCTCCAGCGCACAAGACAAGTTGAGGAACTTCAAGCCATGGTGAGCTCGCAAGAGGTCGAGGAGGACAAGGAAGGAAAAGTTGGGAACAGTGAGGAGGGGGCTTCCGCTGCTGCTGGAGCTGGAAGTAGGATCGATCGCTCGAAGGAGGAGGAGGAGGTGAAGGAGGAGATAGCGAAGCTCTTGGTCTGCGTGGAGGCTACAGAGAGGTGCTTGTTCTCTCTCAGTCAGGTCTAAAGCACTTGTTTGATCCGTCCTGTCCTCACTCGTGCGAGCAGGAGAAACTGTTGGAGAGCGAGAAGAGCGAGAGCGGCGGGAGAGAGGAGGATAAGGCCGTCGGGGAGAGCCTGAGACAGTGGGAGGAGGAGAGGAGAGTGTTCGAAGACGAACTTCAAAATGCCAGGGAGGAGCAGAGGCTGTTGGAAGAGAAGATCAAGGTGCAGGATGAGAGATGCCAAGAGGAGAAGGAGAGCGATGCAGTCGCTGCAGCGCAAGTCGACGCTATCTTTCATCTCTCTAACATGGTCGAGGGGATGATGGAGACAACGAGGCAGCAGGTCGACGAAGTTCTGCTGGTAAACGTGCCCAAGATGAGGAAGGAGATGGAGCAGATGAAGCAGGAGATCCGCTCGCTGAGGGAGGAGCTGGAGGGGAAGGAGGGTGAGCTGCGGGCGCTGTCCTCTCAGGGCGAGAAGAAGGAGGAGGAGAGGCTTCGATCGTTGCAGGCAGAGAGGAACGAGCTGAAGAAGAGCATGGAGGCGCTGGAGAAGGAGGTGGTGCAGCTCAAGGAGGAGGCTACGGTCCTGTGCCCTCAGATGGAAGTGCTGAGGAGGAAGGAGGAGGAGGTAAAGCAGATGGAAGCAGCGAGGAAGGACGCCGAGGAGGAGATGGGAGAGCTTCGAAGGAAGCTGCAGGAGACGGAGGAGGCGCTGGAGATGGCGAGGCTAGACCTGGAGATAGCGAAGGAGGAAGAGGAGAACTTGAGAGCGGACAAGGAGCTGGGCGAGCTGAGCATGGAGGAGGTCGGAGGAGGGGAGGAAGAGCTGAGGTCGCAAGTCAAGCAGCTCTCTGCAGCCCTGCACCAGCTGAACAGGATGAAAGTCTCCTCCGAGTGTGCGCTGGAGGAACAGAGGGAGGAAGTGGAGAGGCTGAGGGGAGTGGCGGAGGAGCTGGAGGCGCTGAGGGGGAGGGTGCAGGAGCTGGAAGAGGAGAAGGTCGACCTCCTTGAGCAGGTGGACTCGAACGACTCAGCAGCGAAGATGGTGAGCGAGCTGACGGGAAGATGCCTGGAGCTGGAGGAGACGGTGAGGAGGACGAGGAAGGAGGTCGAGACGCTGGAGGAGTACAAGCTGGTGGCAGAAGAGATGGAGGAGACGCTCATGGAGAACGAGAAGCAGCTGACTGAGGAGCTGGCAAGGAAGGACGTCCTGCTCTCCGAGCACAACCTCCTCATCCAGCAGCTGCAGGAGAGGTTGGAGGAGCTTGAGAAGACCAAGTTGCGGTACCGCGGAGTGCTGGAAGGGATGGAGGAGGAGAGGAAGAAGCTGGCAAGGAAGGGGATGGAGGGGCTCTCGGAAGCGCAACGGCACGAGGAGCAGGTGCTGTCCCTGCTGGCAGAGAAGCTTGAGCTGGCGGTGAGTTGAGGAGGTGGTGGAGGATCGGGAGTGAGCTGGAGGGCTGCAGGGGAGGCTGAAGGAGGCAGAGAGCCGAGGAGCGAAGATGGAGCTGGCGAGGTATGTGACGAGAGGGAAAGAGATGGAGGGGAGAGGGGAAGGTGGGGGGAGGAGGAGGAGGGGGGGAAGGAGGGGAAGAGGGGATGGTTGGAACGGGGGGAGGGGGGGGGGGG